ACATACCCACATGTAAAATAAAATACAGAGCCCCCTCTCCTGCTTACCTTTTTGCAGGGAGGAGGCTGTGAGGAGGCATGATCACTGGTGATTGATTGGTAAGATCTGCTGCAGACCTTACTAATCAATCCAAGTGCCGGCACAGAAGCAACTCTGCGGTCTGCATCCGACAGAGATGCAGATCGTGTAGCTGCTCCCGCAAGTGGGTACACGGTCCGTGACCACGTACCTGACTTGTGTGTTGGCTGCGGGCCACATAGCACCGGCTCGCGGGCTGGTACTTTGAGACCACTGATCTAGGACAACATAGCTGAACTGCAAAGTGAGCTGAATTGGAGAATGTTTCCAAATCAGCTATGTTGTCCTAGATTGGTCACTTCACTGACCTTCTCCAAACCCTTCACCCTTTTGTGAATAGCCCTGTCAATGTTTCATTAAATCCAGACCTGTCCCCCGCAGTACCTTTTCTCCACCACAAGATGTCTTCAGTCTTCCAGGTTAAATCATGCACAGCATCACTCAGCCCAGAAGTCTGGGACATGTGAATGTAGGGTGTCATGAGCCCACCCCCTGATGGGGTACCCTTCATTCACCATGTACTGGTAAGAGATAAAATAAACAGCGCCTTCTCCTCGTGTGACTCCATTTATTAAAATAGAGTGTATAAATCATAGGTCTGTTCAACCCACATGTTCAGTCCAGATAACATAAGCAAACAATTCCGAAATCAATAACCCAAGTATGGAACAAAGAAGACAAAGAAGCCCTTCTGCAAGTGATGGTGGACAATAGCTAATGCATTTCAGGGGTTAAACTGCCTTCTTCATGCGCTCGCATGCTGCTAGCTGGATGACCCGAACCTGAAAGTGAAGCGTGTCTGCACAGCCAGTGGCGGGGCTAATGAGGTTGTGTCTAAACAGCTGCCCTTCCTGGTGTAATGAAGATACCTTTTAGGATTTCTGGTGGCCGCCATCAGCCATAAGGTTCGATTTGAGGCTACACCATGTACTGGTTTAGACAGCAGTGCTGGCATCATCATATCAGTATCACTCTCTGCATCAGTAAGGAGTTCCCAGGCCAGAGAAGAGGCAAAGAGGACCCGGTCATGTGACCGGCCAGAAGACTTTATAAAAGTATAACAAAATAATACCATAGAAAACACTCTTGGGAACCTTTAGAGGAGAGGGAGAGCACCCTTAGGGTAAAATGGAGCTGCAAGTTGGGTTTTATCACACACGGTGTGAATGGTCTCTTATAGTTGTCTAAACTAGAGCACATAGATGTAAACCAGCCACACAGGAAAGAATAGGATTTCTACTTTAAATGCATAAATACAGTAACATTAACATTTATGTGTAAAGAGGCACTAGATATCAATTACTTTATTTACTGCAAAAATCATATTTTTTTAAATACAGAGGACGCTGCCAGCTAATACTGAAATAATGCTTCCAGGAACAGTAAATAGGAATGTGTATTGATATTTCAGTTACTGTAGGATAGCGAAAAACACATGTAAAAAGATTGTTAGTGCAATGGAAAGTGGCTACAAAGATTTCTGTTACCGATATCAATTATTCTGGTGCCGAGAGTCTTTGCAAGGCCATGATCCAACACAAAACTCCCTGGAACTCAGCCCTAGTAAACAGCAAACATAATCTAAGTGGCTTCTAATTTAATAAAAGGGGAACAGTACAACCATTATGTTTGTGACAAGGAGGTACAAAAGTTAACCAAAAAGCCCACCTCTGAGGTACCTTGAGGTGGGGCTTTGCCTTCTTACAACAGAAAGTATTTACACGTCCTCACTTCCAGCACAATACAGAAAATGAAGGAGCTCAATCTCTGCTTATGGGTAAGTAGCCGAAGCCATGCAAATCATTCCATTTTGCCCCTTGTAGACATCTGTACATCCAGAACCACTGGTGTATAGTACATCCTGTAAAAAGCCATCATTTTACAAAGTCAGACGGCACAGCCATGAAGGTGATTCCACTTTCTCTGTTACTGGTGTCATGTCCCAAACTCAGAAAGGGGGTGGAAACACATTAATAACACAAACACAATAACACAAAATTTTGAATTGCCACCAGAACAGGAATAACGGGGAAAACTTCTAATTGGGACACTCATTCCCATAACAATTGTTAGAGTGGATTTTCTCACTTTGAAGAGAGAGGATACAATTGGGGGAAAAAAAGGACCAGGGTTTTAACCATTTCCTACTCTATCCAAAATGAAAAAATGTTTTGGAGTGCCATTGGCTGATTCAGGCCGCCCCTCACACCAACATCCGCCTGGTGTTCACAGATTTCCAGCTGGAAAGCCAGGAATGTAACTTTGATTATGTGGCTGTCCTTGATGGCAGCGGACCCGAAGAACAAGTCCGCCATTACTGTGGTACCACCAAGCCACCAGACATCACATCCTCCTCCAATGAGCTGCACGTGATCTTCAAATCTGACTTCAATATAGGAGCCAGGGGCTTCAAGGCATACTTTTCATCGGGTATGACGTTTCTTCTGTCCACACTAATAATGCATCAAGTCTGGCCACCCTGTTATCCTACATGTCATAATTTTCCCTGTCAGCGTATATATGCATGCTGCACATTGGCTCCTTTTGTTTGCCCATCTCATTCCAGTCTAATACAAAGATAGATTTAGGTACTTATGTTATTTGTATGTAAAAATACATTTAATGATATCTAAAGCCAAAACCTTTGCCCTGGTGGCTATTATAGTTGGGACTGAAAATAAGACAGAATCCAACATTTTGAATTGCCACCAGAACAGGAATAACGTGGAAATCTTCTAAATGGGGACACTCATTCCCATAACAATTGTTAGAGTGGATTTTCTCACTTTGAAGAAAGAGGATACAATTGGGGGGAAAAATGACCAGGGTTTTAACCATTTCCTACTCTATCCAAATGAAAAAAATGTTTTGGCTTTAGATATACTTTAAATTGGGTTTTTCTTTTATCTACCGAAGTTTAGCTGAAAACCTTTACAGCTAGAACTATCTATCTGGAAGTTTTATTTGTGAGTAACCCAAGTATGCTCCCAACATTCTATTCCAAGGGGCGAGTTGAGATGTTTCCATCAGGACCCCATTCTTTGTGTTTTACCAAGTCTATTTTATTTTAGTTAACCTCCTATACAATTAATGATTTCCATTTCACAGATAATGTCTGACATGTCAACAACATGTTCAATGTATGTATGTAGGAAGATTTCAATGATCAATAATGTTATCTTTCCCAGATGTTCATCATGTGTTCATAAATCCTATAGTAACTGATCACTGAAACTTTTCTGCATTGGCTTTAGAAATTAACTGGATAATGTACATAGGTCTTATGTGCTGCATTCATTTAGAAATGTATTAGAGCTCAGCTTGCAAAGAGATGTCTCAGTTGTATCTGCTGCATTAACCCACAAATTATGTTGCTGTGCTTCCTAATCAAAAGCATTAACACATTCTAAATTGAACTCAATTATGCCTTCCCTTTGGATCTCTTACAGCCCATCTAAAGCCAACTCTTTTTTTTATCTTCAAGTAAAGAATGATTTTTTCTTGATGTTTGTGTCCCATTGGAGAGCTTTCCATTGACTTCCTATCCCAGAAAAAAAAGAGTGAGTGGAAATCTCTTCAAAATAATAGAAATCCCCTCTTAGACAGTTGTCACCAGAGCAGGTTTACTTATTGCAACATTTCTCCTCTATACTCCTTCTGGTGACAACTATAGAATTGTGGATCTCCCACCAGGTGCCCTTTTGAGGAAGGGAGGGAGGAGTTGTTAGTTGGTGTACAGACATCAATAAAAACAAAACAGAGCTTCTCAACTCAACCCAGCATTTGGACCCAATGTTTTGGCTTTAGATATAGTATTCTTTGGACACATATTCACATGTAAAATATATCTACACAATATATGTTGATTTCAAATTATATTTTATTTCCTATACCTACCAAATATTGCCATTTTGAAAAGATAAACTACTGAGCTTATAAAGAGATGGAGCTACAAAAACTGGGAGTGGTTTTGTCCATGTAAGGATTTTTTGGGCAGGGCTTTGTCAGATTATAGGTGTGGCTTAGTTTTTTTCCCCTTGATGTTACATATTGCAGTGATTGATGGTTTGTGTTTGCTTTATACTATTGTCATGTAGATATCTGTGGTGGAGTGCTCACTGGCCTTTCTGGAATTATTACCAGCCCTGACTACCCTGACCATTACCCCAACAGTGCAGAGTGCCATTGGCTGATCCGGGCCACCCCTCACACCAACATCCGCCTGGTATTCACGGATTTCCAGCTGGAAAGCCAGGAATGTAACTTTGATTATGTGGCTGTCCTTGATGGCAGCGGACCCGAAGAACAAGTCCGCCATTACTGTGGTACCACCAAGCCACCAGACATCACATCCTCCTCCAATGAGCTGCACGTGATCTTCAAATCTGACTTCAATATAGGAGCCAGGGGCTTCAAGGCTTACTTTTCATCGGGTATGACGTTTCTTCTGTTCACTCTGATTTTAAATTAGATTTTGTTAGTATTTGATCCAGTTTACACATTTGGTAATTGGTAATGTGTTCACCTAAAACTGAAATCCTTGACATACCTTACATTTCAAAATGGCCCCAGGTCCACAGAACAGGCCTTTACATTTTTACACTTTTCCTTCACAGCACCAATGTATCTCAAAAACCTGTGCACTGTATTTTGACAATAGGGACCATAGTATTCTTGGTTCACATCCTTCCACCATAATGCCCTTCCAATCAGACAGAGAAAATCACTTGCTTTTCACTTTTGATAACTAAAAGGAGGGGATAGAGTGGAATATGAGGAATAGGGGGACTCAACTGCGGCCGAAAGCAGCAATGGGCTGCACATGGTATTCAGTATATTTAATGCTACAGAAGACTAACAGAGATTGCAGACATACTACAGGAGATGATTAGAGACTGACAACACTATACAGTTTGATGAAGACTGGAAACACAGTGCAGGAGACAGTTAGGGACTGGAGATTTGTTACATGAGACTGCAAGAGCTCACAGGCCATTAGAGCCCCTTTGCGTATCAATGCTCCCACTTCCACTATTGAGGTCTGCAAGGGCTGCACAGCAAGTATCAAAAGGCTGCAGGTTGGGAACCAGGGGCATGGAATTTGAGAGGAGGAGGGCCAGACATCAACAGTGGAAGCTGATAATTGTGTAAAGTTGAATGGTTTACTGTGGGGTATATTTATAAAGCAGTTAAAGCCATTTAAAACACATGGATCTGGAATATTTCCTTGCAGTGAACGTTTGGTGCATGTGGTGTAGGCTGATGACCAAGTTGCATTTCTTAACTGCATCTGAGAAAATTTAGGTCCCCAACTTTGCTGTACTGTATGGCAGATGTTTCTGGATCTCAAGACTTTAGCAATTACAACAGTTCATGTATATGTAGTACAGCTGTGTGTTCAATATACTGTATATATAACTGGTGTTAAGTGGCTGACCAGGTAGTGAACCTCTGGTTAGTAGCACAAAAGTGCTGGCCATCTAAGGGTTAGCATTTAGAAAGGTCACCGGGCACAAAGAAAAGTACTTACCATGTCCACAACCATTACCAGAGACTGTGCACTGCAGGAAGGTGTGACAGAAGCATGGGGGAGCCCTACCTGATAATTACAACCTACATTAAATGCATTGTGACATTCATAGTATATATAGGTAAACAGTAACATGAGGCACCCAAGACTGAGCCGTTTGATATAAGACTCCAGAGTATGACAAATTTTGATGTCCATATAACGGTTCAAAAAAAATAGTGACATGATGAGCATAATCTGCCCTTACTCTCAGAATGGTCCTGATCCATTGTCCTCACCTTTTCTCATCCCACAGGGGAATGTCAGGATGTGTTCAAAGCAGTGAAGGGCAATATCACCAGCCCTCGCTATCCAGAAATGTACCCCAATAATATTATCTGTCAGTGGAACATCCAGTTACCCCCGGGATTCCGTATTAAGATGTTCTTCCGAGACCTGGAGCTGGAGGAGAGGAACAGCCTGACGGAAGAGTGTGATTATGACTATGTGGCAGTTTACGATGGGCAAAATGAAGGCAACAAGCTTCTTGGGAAATGGTGCGGGACCGAGATCCCTTCACCAATCATGTCTAGCAAGAATAATCTACTACTGGTTCTTGTGACGGATAGAGATACAGCCAGCAAGGGCTTCTCTGTGTTTTACATTGGTGGTAAGTACACAGCACCAATACATTTGCATTACCTAGCATTTGTACCTGGATGTTATTGGGTCTCATTTATAAATGGGACAGCGGAAATACTCTCAGATGCTAAAAGTACTTACTGCAGCTTTTCCACTTCCCACGGCAGAAAAGTTAAAGGAAGATTATGATATATTAATGAGCAGCAGAGGTGATTCTTCTCTCCAGGCCAACCTAATAGGCAATGCATATTATGGCCACAAAAGACAGTGTAACATCTATAGGGCCCAGCAGCACAGAGGGCCCGATACTGTCAAGCAGTGTAATCGTTTATCCACACAGCCGTAGAATATGGCAAAGGATTTTGGACATACTCAGTACAGGCACCACTTTTGGATGACTATGAAGGGAAATAGGATGCATTATTGTTAGTGTTGTAGGGTGACACAGGTAATAGACGGAGCCTAGAGACTGAAGAAACCATATAATAATCTTTCTATGGGTCTCTATCCTGTATTGCTGTGATGAGTCATTATAGGGCTAGTCATAGACATGACATGATGGTTAAATGTTCCAAATGCTCTGTGATCATTCTGTATGCAAAGGTATTAGGCTGAGCATGCATGTTTAAGCCTAGGAAGCCTATTAGGTTATTTCTCCCCAATAGTGGTCGGAGAAAAGAGCTTGCAGATGCTGCAGAATGCCCACTGACACACCTGATGCAAACCATTTTTTTGGCAAGATTAAGCAATGATCATGTCTATTGGTAGTGGCCCTTGTATCTCCCAGCGTCTTCCAATCTCAAGTCAGGACGGGTCTCAGGCAATCCACGCAAACCATGCCCAGTTTCAACCAATCACCTCTATGTGTAAGCCAGGGGGAGGCAACTTCAACACTCCATCTTCTGTGGAACTACTAAAAGCTAACACAGCAGATTGATACCCCTGCTGAACAACAGTGGTGGTTGTGGCCGGTGTAGAGGCTTTCTAGGAAGGTGAAAACCTTTTTAAATGGAAAGTATCATGTATTTTCATTGAGCACACATTTTTGGTTATAATTGCATGTTTAGGGTAACGGGAGGACGCTAGTTTGTGTCCTCCTGTTACCCTAAGGAGAACTATGGGGAAAAACACTGACCCTATAGTTCTCCTTTAAAGTAATTTTTGATGTGACTCACATTTTTTTCAGACTTGCTCTTCCATGTTTTTGTTATTGCAATAAATGTAGAGATATGAAAAATAGCCACTAGGGGGAGAAAACTTAGCAATCACTCCATCCTTAAAAGACCCTGTCAGGGGGGATAAGGAGGTGGGGGACAGCTATATCTATGAAATGAAGGCACTTGTACATACCTGGAGCAGCCATCCAAACACTCTTGCCCTGGTGGAATTTTAGGTTGTTCTAACAGGCAAAGCGACTACACTGAGAAATGTCTGAGTTTGTCACTCATCTTCGCCCCCATGCACTCTTATTGGGCCTTTACTATGATGCACAGCCCTACTGGTCAATAGGAATACTGTGCAGTAGACAGGAAAAGGTATGCAAGCTTAAAGTGAACCTGTGCCCAGACTATGCTCACTCTTACATATTCTGAACAAACAGTAAAAGCACTGTAAGTGTTCATGCACCTGCCGGTCTGGGGCTGTACAACTTAAAATACGAGCGTATTTACGTATGCAGGAGTCCTTCATACAGCTGCCCATAGAAATCAATGGCTGTATGTGGGTATACACCGTTACTTCTGTGGACACGTGCATGCTCATAGGTGTACAAGCCCGTAGAATCACAGTCTGCATTCGCAGTCGCACATGCAACGTGTTTATGCAATACTGGCCTATACCCACGCACAGCTACATACAGCTATTGGTTTCTATGGGTAGCTGTACGCAGCACCTGTGGCTCCTAAACAACTGAATGTGCTGGAATGTTATATTGTCCCACGCCAGGCAACCATGTGCAGGTTCCCTAAAACAAGCCCTCATTCGTCTCTATACCTATTAGCACTATGAAGAAATAATTTTCAAAGTTCACAAGGCAAGCACTGTGGTTTTCTATGAGAGCAGATCTAATGTTAACACACAGCCGGTGTTTCTAAGCTTTCAGAGTTTTTGTTGTGATTGTGAAGATCTTTGAGAATGAATAACTTCACATTAAATGCAGCTAGAGAGGTCAGGGATGGCTTGTCTTAAAGCCCTTCTACAGCCCCCATCGGGCTGAGTGAGAATATTCTCACAGTGTATGGCCACCTCAAGTACAGCTGACCCTTAAACATCCCAGATCATTTTAGAAAACTGCAAATAAACATTGTAAAAGCGGCAGGCCATTGCCGAGTTCCGTGACATGAATTACGCAGAGATAAGCAGCAGCTGACAGCACCGTATTAATGGTGTTCCACTTCTATCAAGCAGTAGAGGGATGGGTCCTCTCCAGCTTCTAGTGCTGATTTCAGACACAAGTTATGAGACTTGGTGCAATTAAATTATTCCGAGACATGAGAGGTCCTAAATAAGGAAGCAGGAAAGCAAAGGAAATGCAATTTCCAGTGATTTACAATCTGTCTGGCGTGGCCAGGGGATTCAGTTTCGCTCTCTTTTGCTGTAATGCTCTTTTTGTATATAGGAAAACCTCTTAATGGTTTTCTAATGTACTCGGAATAAGAAGCCTTCCTCATCTCTTATTGATTTACTAGAAGAATTACAGACTCAGCCGCAATGTTGTTACTTGCAACAATAATGCTGGCACTGTGAATTAACCCTTCTTGCTGTTTTATAATAAAAGAGTACCTGTCACCTGAGTATATCATGGCCATTGATTGGAAGTGGAGAGCAGAACCCATATGACTGACAAGCCAGTCTTTGCTTTTCTGAATAACCAGTGTCATTCCTGTGACATTCAGTGCCTGGAATTTCACACTACCTAGTGCAGGTGCCTTCAGCTTGGGTTCAGCTTGAGATACTTCTAAAAGGCTTCAACCTGCCTTCTGCTGGTTTTACATTCGCATTGACTCCTTTCATGAAAAAAAGCAGCTCTGATGAATAAAATGTCTGTACATGGGTATCTATGGTGAAAAACTGAAATTCTGTATTTCTATATTGAATTTCCATGCGTTCTCTCCCACTCCTAATCATATCCATCTAGACGTTTGCAAACACACTTAATGCAGAGGCCCATAAGATGGACTTCCTTTCTGAAAAACAAATTGTCGGGAACGTTGGGGCCACTGGAGGTGCTATGAAGCCCAAACTGAGGTTTCTAAATAGGATAGAGCATTGTTATAGTATATACGAGTAGATTACAGTATATGGATATGGGGGCAACCAGCACGGGAATGTTGTAAAAGTTGGAAAGATGTTATTTCTGGTGCAACTGTCGAGGTAGTTTTGAGAGAACCTCGTATTATTTGTATTGAATATCTTGGTAAGTTGTGGTTTTACCCGACATGGGTTGTCCGCAATAACAGAATAAAAAATTTTGTTTAAAAAAAAGATGGACTTCCTCAATGCACTCAGCCCTGTGAATATGCATTTTCTTGTGTCACCACTATACCTAATCCTACCATCTGAACTACAAATCGAGTCTGAACAATGTAACATTATCATTGCTTGCTGGAAGCAATGCATGATGAGCTATGTAGTCTTCAGAAATGGAGATTGCATGACACTAAGCAGCAGGAAAAGAGATACAAAGCACATTGGGAATCCAGGAAGTTGGTGAAAGTAATGGGCAGACGGAATGCAGCACTCACTCCATAAAAGGGATTTCTTCAAGTAAGATTTATTTGCATTATCAAAAACAACTCAATGTATTCCTATTACAATGCTGATGTTATAACAGGAGAGGATATGCTGGGACTTTGCAAATCCTTTAACATGGTTTTACAAGGAGTAGCAGACTAGCCATAACTTTTTCTTTAGTTTTGAATAGTAGTGGGAAAGGTTAGAACCTCTACCAGGTCTTTATTCTGTGTCCATGTCCTGTTTCGGCGACCTGTGTCACCTGGTCCTGAAAACATTATGAAATGTCCCCCATAGTCACAGACAGTCATATAATCACTTTTTATGCAGTGTGGGGGCCTCTGTCTGCTTTTTATCTATTTGTGAATATTTAAACTCATTACTGTTTCAGTCTGGGACAGGAAGTGAGGAAAATCCCACCAATGAGAACACATACAGCAGTAAATGTCCAAAAGAGGTTCCAAGCCCTTCCCACATTATCTAAAGCAAAGAAAAACCCACAGCCCTATTCACAAAAGGATGAAGAGTTAGGAGAAGTGAACAATATAGGACAACATAGCTGAGCTGGAAAGTGAGCTGAATTGGAGAATTGTGTCCTAGATTGTTCACTGCTCCTGCCTTCTCCAAACCCTTCATCCTTTTGTGAATAGCCCTGCTAGTTTTCAACTTAAAATCCTTTTTATGTTACAGTAAAGGAATACACTGTTGCTATTTCCCGCCCTCGACCTGCTGACTGGACAGTGAAAGAGCAGCAGTACCATGAGAAGGTCAACTTTCTGCTTTCTCCTCAAATCAGCCTGTTCCTTGTCAGCACGTTTGCATGCAGCTCACATGACTGGACCTTCCTTTCCCAGTCTGGACTCTGCTGTACAGGGGGTTGCAAGAGGCTGATACCAAGTCAAATGTAATTACTTACATTGCTTGCATTTAAAAAGTACATTTAGTGAGTACAGAGCTGTATTATTTTGTGGCTTTAATATCTGCCTCGAGTTCAGTTTTAAGTAGAGATCTGCCTTAAAGTTGGGTGTCTACTCCAGAGCTCTCTCTCCACTAAAGTAACAAAGAGTGGTACCCTTCTGATCTGGTTCTGATCTTAAAATGTTAGCTTTAAGGTTACATTTTAGATAGTGATGGCTCCATACATATAGGGCAGTTGTACATTGACTTATTATTTTTGTATCTTCTGGTCAGTTGTCCCAGTCAACATCAGCTGCACCCGTACTGACTTCCACATCCAGATTCCAAGCCAGTCTGTCCCTCGGCTGGAGAGAAACCACATCTACCTGGGTACACCAGCCTGTGCCGCTCAACTCTCCGGCAATAACTTCAAGATCTATGCCCGCTTTGATACATGTGGGACGGAACCGAAGGTAAGCAACTTATTAACAATGTTGAGCTGTGTTAAAAAAGAAAAAAGAGTTGCATTGCTATAGGTGTCCTACATTACCCAGTGGTAGCCGCTGCATACTTTCCTATTCATCAAACATCTGATGGAATGAATGAATGCCTTGGATTCCTCCAATCGCTCAACATAAGGGGTAGACCCGGAACAGCAATACAGCCCTTAAGAGAGATAAGGTCCATGAAGTTAAAGGAACCTTGTGTGCATAGATAAATGGGGCTGACCTGCTCCTGGAAATGCTCGTTGGTTGTCTGCCATGCTAATGTAATGGCTTTGAGTAACTGACCTGAAGCAAATATGCCAATCGAGTGCTCCAAGCTAGTAACTCAGAGCTGAGAGGGTTAATATGACAGCCATGCAGTTAGTATTTTCAGGAGCAGGTAAGCAAAAATAATATTTCTGCAAGCCGAGATTTACTTTATAAAGTATAAGCAAAACTTTAACATGGAAAGCTATTACCAAGGAGCCATGACTTAAAAGTCATTTAGGATTGGTTGCTGCACTTTGAGGCATATACCTGCAAAAATATGTATTGTGTAGTAATATAGCATGGAGCAACAATACAGATCTAGTTAAACAGTGTTCCAAGGAAAGAATTACAATTATTTAAAGGGTATGTATGGTCAAAAAACTAAAACTAAATCTAAATGTCTATATTGAATCTCTGTGAAGTTCAATCCCTCTCCTAATAACCATATCCATCTAGAAGTTTGTAAATGTACTTATTAACTATGCCCATAGGATGTACTTCCTCAATGCACTGACACAATTTCACTCAGCAGTGTGAATATGCACTTCATTGTGTTACAACTCTAAGACTGATATCTGAGCTATAACTCAATGTCTAAACAATGTAACATTATCATTGCTTTCTGGAAGCAATGCATGATTGGATATGTAGTCTTGAGAAATGAACATTACATCACAATAAGCATCAGGGAAAGGGAAGCAAAGCACACTGGGAATCCAGGAAGTTGGTGAAAATGATGGGCAGACAGAAGACAACACTCACTGCATAAAAGGGATTTTTTCAATAAGCTTTGATTGTATTATCAATAACAATTCCAGTATGTATTCCTATTACAATGCTGATGTTATAACAGGAGAGGATATGCTGCGACTTTACAACAGTGCACCATTGTTTATCGGATAGCTATGGGCTCTGTCAAGTCTGAACACAGCTCTGAAAGCAGCCATACTGAGATAGACATTAGACATGTGCGATTCGTTTCGTTCCGAATCGAAATTCGGACGAATTTTCGGAAATTCGGACATTCCGAATTACAGACATAACGAATGCAAACGAATCCGAATTTCCATTTCCGAAATTCGGTAGCGGTAGTTCGAACGTTCGTTTCGTTTTAGGTTCTTATTCGTTTCTTATTCGTTTCGTTCGTTGGAGCAAAGTGACATTAGAGAAGGAGAAAAATATTTTTCCCCCTCAAATGTCACGAACGAACGAACCAAATAAGAAATGAATAAGAACAGAAAACGAAACGAACGTTCGACCAACCGCTACCGAATTTCGTCCGAATCCGAATTGACTTTCACACCCGAATCCCAAAAAACGAAATAACACAAATCCGAATTTAAAACGAAACAAAACAAATTTTTTGGCAGTGCACATGTCTAATAGACATAGGTGACTGCACCTCCTCTAACAACTGGCCCCTGCCAGCACAACTGATCTCTTATGAGAGTTCAGACTCAATGTAGTCCTCAGGCTGTTATAAACATAGTCACTCAACGGCCCTCATCTGTGATTCAGTGGAAAGAGTTTAAAACAAAACTCCAGCTATAACTTATTTTTTTTGACAGAGTGATGTATGTTTAGAGCCTCTGTCAGATGTTTGTTGCCAGTCCCCCTTTGAGAGTGTTCCCATCACTCCTGGGGTCAGGGAGACAGATAATAATACGAAATCTCTCTAACATGGACAGAGGCAGCAACAAAAACATTTTTAGTAGAGTGGGGAACGGTAAGAACTTCTGAAAAGTGTTCATTCCTGTGTGAGTATTCCTGGCCTAGTGATCCATATTCCTTGCATTACTTACAAATGGTGTCACAAGGACAGGAAGTGAGAAGAAATCTCACAGTGAAGCAGGCAGCAATGAAAAGCTGACAGAAATTATAACTTTCCCTACTTTACCGACAACTAAAAATTAGTTCTGGCAGGATTTAGACTTAAACTCCTTTTTAGAGAAGCTCTTTGAGGACACCACCTTGATATTTAGCAGTACATCTGATTCTGATGCATTGCATGCTCCATAATGTACTCTTACAACATAAAAGAAAACCTATTTTATTTGTAGTGATCTCTCTCTCTGCTTTTCCTGCAGAAAAGGAACAACACCTCAGTCATTGTGAGCACACTGTATATAGATTTCTCTCTGGGTGCTCAGGAGGACATTCATCAATACGAGGTGCAGTGTGAACCCAAGAGGAAGGAAGCCTCTGTACATATCCTGTCTGGTTTAGACCCGGCTCAGCTTCATGGACTAGTGGAGAATACTGACCAGTCCCAGCTGCCAGAGGCAGAAGCATCAGAGAGCAGTGATCGGGGGCAGGATAGCAGTGACGTGGTCTTCATCAGCATCTGTATATTGGCTGGAGTCCTCATGCTTATTGCAGTGGTGGGGCTGGTTCTACTGTGACCATATACCTCTTACAATGATCAGTATAATCACTACAACAATGGTTACAAAGCAGGTCTGGAAGAATCGGGTGCTATCAGAGAAAAGCTAAGCTTCTACAGCTAACGAAGAGACAGTCCATCTTGGTTATTCGGAAAGGAAAGTCTGACAAACATTACATCCAAAAGATGACAACTTAATAATGCAGTCTTCTTCACTGCTTAACATTGAAAGTCAACTGATCATGTTAAAAAAAAAAAAAAGTAAAAACTAATACAAATCCCTAAGTGACGGCATCAAAAGCACCTGCACATCCTTTTATTTCCATTGAAGGAATCTCCTTTGCTCTCCAGGAGACCCTGGGTGTACTCAACACGAAGACCTTTGGTTTGAGCTCCAAACTGAAACTCTAGCACGTCCTCAAACAGCATCACCTGTGCACAAGTCAATAGCCAATAGGGATGTATGCATTGCAGGATGTTGGGCCATACCAAAAGTTGAAGTCTCCATGCTGTATACACCCTTGTTCAGGGTCTCCCAGGAGACACGTCCTACAGACTAAAGTCATGTGTAGACATCCTTTGGAGACTGGATTATTATTATTTATCATATGTTTATATATGCAAGATTAACTTTATTGAAGACAAATCCAGACAAACAGTAGACTTTTAAGGAAATCTAGGAACTCACCAAGAGGACAAACTCCGGAAGTCTTGCTCAGTTTAGTTAAGGTAGTTCAGATAATTTTAAAATAATATTTCCAGTTCCACAGTAAGCATTGGTTTTAGGAGGTCTGCCAGTTGAGCAAAGGCCCCCAAGCAATGTTAATGTACGCGGCAGAGAAGGTGGTGCATAATTTAAAATGCAAAGCGACACCTCTGAGTGAAACGAAGTATCCCTGACTTGCAGAACCAGAAGCTTGGATAAGGCCTTCCTAGAACATCATGTTACTGGTAATATAAGGATTTAAAGTGAGGTAACCCGGTGTATTGAGGGAATGCATCAATGGAAAACAAGAGCCCAGGGCAGGTACACTGCACTCTCTGTATGTATTTCTGAGCTGTAGTTTTGGACATTTACTGTACTGTTCCTTGTTTGTATTGAAGAGTACTGACGCTGTCCAAACTGCATGAACTCATTTTAGTTTCATATTTTATTCTATAGTTTGCTAAACAGGCTGAAATGATTTGGTTTTTCCCTCTAAAGACCAAGACATAAAGTTAAAATACATGATGGCCCACTGACCAATGAAGTGGCTGTAGAAATGGTTCATCCCATATTCAAAAAGATGGTGCTGTCTTTAGCAACTATTCACAAAAGGGTGAAGAGTTTGGAGAAGGCAGGAGAAGTGAACAATCTAGGACAGGGGTGCCCATTATGTAGATGGTGATCTACAAGTAGCTCTCAAAGCTGATGCTGGTAGATCACGAAGGGTGTGAATGGCAGCTCCATTATTCCATTTTGGTATATTTATTTATCTGTGCACACATGATGACCTATTAGCCTGAGTCTGCTGAGCCAACCTCCCTGACACCTTTCTGGTGGATACTGGAGGTTGAAGTGCTATGTGGAACATCAAAAGAATATTAGTTTACACAGCTTGTTGCACTACACTGTTTGCAAAATACAGCAAGGTGAGCCAGGAGAGAGAGCACGAGGAGAGACAGCCAGGAGAGAGAGCACGAGGAGAGACAGCCAGGAGAGAGAGCACGAGGAGAGACAGCCAGGAGAGAGAGCACGAGGAGAGACAGCCAGGAGAGAGAGCGCGAGGAGAGACAGCCAGGGGAGAGAGCGCGAGGAGAGACAGCCAGGGGAGAGAGCGCGAGGAGAGACAACCAGGGGAGAGAGCGCGAGGAGAGACAGCCAGGGGAGAGAGCGCGAGGAGAGACAGCCAGGGGAGAGAGCACGAGGAGAGACAGCCAGGGGAGAGAGCGTGAGGAGAGAAAGCCAGGGGAGAGAGCGTGAGGAGAGAAAGCAAGGGGAGAGAGCGTGAGGAGAGAAAGCCAGGGGAGAGAGCACGAGGAGAGACAGCCAGGGGAGAGAGCGCGAGGAGAGACAGCCAGGGGAGAAAACGAGGAATGACAGCCAGGAGAGAGAGGAGAGGCAGCCAGGAGGATGAGCAAGAAAAGACAGTCAGGAGAGCGAGGAGAGACAAGCAGGAGAGTAAAAGCGAGGGAGTTTTTGTTTTTTTTCGTTGGTAAATCTCATGTAGCCGTCATTTAAAAAGTAGATCTTAGAAAAAAAAATTGTGGGCATCCCTGATCTAGGACAATGTTGTCCTAGATTGTTCACTTCTCCTGCCTTCTCCAAACTCTTCACCCTTTAGTGCACAACCCTGTTAGAACCCTGATAGAACCCTGGGGTTCTATGTTGACTTCTGTCCTTTATTGCCCTTTACATCATCATTGATTTTTGCATTTCTCTTTATGTCATGTAGAACAGCCTATAATCTTTTACAAGCAACGTAGTATTTCATGTCAACATTTACCATAGTATCCATATAGCCTATTTAGTGGCATGTAGGGCTGTCAATGGAGAGCAAGTTACAGGGATTCTGCCAAAATTGCATCTGGCAATAATGTTATCAGTTTTGGATATCTGGCCTTTTGTTCTGTTTGTTTAACACCTGTGACAATCCAGAAGTGCTATTTACTAAAGGTGCATAAAGCTGAATATTATTTAAAATAACGCGGTCTCAATAATTGAGGTGTTTTATTCATCAGAGTGTTGTCACCACTGAAATTCATCTACAAGGTAACAGCAACTTTATAAAAACAGCTCCTGAGGAACAAGGATTAGACAATCAAGCGCCAGCTGACCTATCATGTGATCTGTTTTCTCAGAAGTATCAATGGTGATAAAAAAACACTCCACATATCATGTTACCCATCACCTACCTACCTACCTAAACCGCTATTATACAACCAAAAGCCAAAAAATATCATTTAAGACCAAGCAGAAATTTTATTTCATGTTAAAAAGTATAAAAATAAATTATATACACAGCTCCTCGTGTATTGTCCATTACTCAATCAGTACAAATACATCTCATTAAAAATGTAGACTCAAGTACAACATCCTCCAATATTGTATGCTGGGTACCCGAGAGTAACCTGGATCTGGTCATTGATGGTTTGCTGAGTATGATGGATGAGTCCATGTTCGGTTCTTATGTCCTCAGCACATTACTTCTTATGAGTCTGCACTAACTTATTGACAGGTAAGTGTCCGTCCTTCACTTGTGATCGTACCTCTGGCTTGTGTTTTAGAGCAAACACCAGAGCTCGCACCGTCCTTCGGTAGTGAACATTGATCAGGCGGGAACTTTGGTGGAAGACCTCACGTTCAATACATTCGGCCAAAGAGTCGCCAACCTGATTAAAGAGACGGACATAGTAAAATCAGTTTTTTTGTTATCTGACTGACTAAGGACATTTCAGCAATCCTTAATGGATTTGATGTTAAAGTGATTCTTAAAAGGCAGCCTTGCAGAACCTGCAATAGAAGAGGGTCTAAACTTACCTGACCTGCCGCCCATTAACAGCTACAGCAGCCTAAAGAATCTTCATATTCAATACTTCTGGGAGGGTTGGACCTGGAGGGGGCAGAAGCCTGCGACCCCTCCTAGTCCAACACTCCCTGAAGTATTTGGGGTGCCATTAAAATTAAAATTTTTAAAGGCACTGCATTGCACCTCCCTGCACCAACATATTTCAGGCCAAAATTACAATTGTATTGTAAGCACATGGCGCTTGAATAGCTTCAGCCAGGGAATGACAGCTGCCAGTGGTAAGATTCCGCAGACAGCAGCTGACTGTAAATACAGCAGGTAGTGGGCTGGTGCAATAGCCAATAGCAGGCTGACTATTGCACCTGCCCACTGCTTGCTGTGCCCCCCTCCCAGCGTGGAGGAGAGGGCTAGGGGATCCAACCAACTAGTGAATGAGAATAGTTGACAACTATTCTCATTATCGATTAATCATTTAGTTGGTTGCAGCCCTATTTAAAAAATAGTCACTGGGGACATTGGGGGCTCTATTCATAGACAATTTTCAGAACCATTCACCCTACAAATGCACACCAAACAAACCTTCAGAAATATTTGTAGGGTGAATGATTCTGTGAATCTTTCTGAATGTTCGTTCTGTGCGAATAGAGGCAGCAATGAATGTTCTTAGATATATTTTCTTTTCAGGTTGGTTGAATGTAATGTAATACTGCGTTTTGGCCACTAGATGGAGTTGAGTATAGAAAATGGGTTCCTTACCTCCTTTTCTAGGGCTTCGCACAGCATTCGCCTGGCATTGTCACGTAGTTTCTCTGTAGCAGGATCACTTCTTACTTCTATGGTGGGTTTACAGCGATTTTCCCTTAAAAACGTTTCCCATTGTGAGTAGACTTTCGTAGATAGTTCAGATACTTCATTATCAGAGTGTGTCTGCAAGCCCTCCACTGCCTGACCTGAGGGAAGGAAAAAGACCATTACATACAACAAACCACATTACATGTATGTTAAAAACAAATCTGAATCTCAGCAGGGAGAGACACGTCTGTTCCAGCCATCTTTAAATGGCCCAATCTGGTCCCAATGTTTCAGTGCTCTGGTGAGGATTTAACCATTAGGGACCCACTTAGAAGACGACAGCGAGGATCTCCAATGTAGAATTTTAAACCCGTTGGAATCTCTCTGTGCATGCTGGCTCCCAATGAGAAGAGGAAAGGATGGACATGACACAGATACTGCTTCTGTCTAAGAATCAAGAGAAAGAATAGCAGGTCCCAGATGATGGGGAGACATCTATCACCTCCTGTCTAATAACAGGAAATGACCTGGATGTCCCCCCGATGGGGGCACAGCAGTAAAAAAACAAAAAAAAAAACTTTATTAATAGAAACAAAAAAAATACATTTTGGCCACAGTTCTTTCTTTATTCTTCTGCATTGCATTAAAGCTGAACTCCAAGATAAACAAATATTGTCCAAATACAAGAAACACTGGGGGGAATTTATCATTGCAATTGCGAGTGTTTGAACTTGTACGGAATATATTTGCACCAGATTTATGATGCTAGTGTAATGGTGTTGATAAATGAGGTTTAATAGATTCCAGGAAAGAAGACTTCTAACTTCAGGCAAAAAGCTTAAAGTGACATTAAACCCTCAGATGTCTTAACATAAAACAATACTGTAATGTGCGCCTTAATGTAATCCATGGTTGTTTCCCTTCTCTTTGCTGCTCTTCCTTTAAATCTGTATCTCTTCTCATGCTGGGGGGAGAACTTCCCTTTGCAGCTGAGTGCCTCTTCCTGTAGTGCTGGCTCAGGTTGTGAACCTGCACACAGTCACCATGTATCCCTTTCAGAGACAAGGCCGTCTGCTGCAAAACAGAAGTTCTGCCCAGCAGGAGATACGGATTTAAAAGGAAGAGCAGCAAAGAGAAGGGAAGCAACCATGGATTACAGTAAGGCACACATTACAGTATTGGTTTATGTTAAAAAATCTGAGGGTTTAATGTCACTTTAACTGTCGCTTCTTGAAGAAGTGGTCATGGGGACTTCCTATTGTCTTCTTAGGTGATGCTCCAGCTTCAGACAGCCCAGAACAAGTGCAGATGAAAACAGGTGCAAAAAACATGCAACTGAAAAAGTAGTGCAAGCTCTGATGACAGCAGGTGCAAAACACGTGCAGTTGGAAAAGTAGAAACACAGATTTGTACATAAAAAAAAAAAAAAACATCTAAGAGGCTAAAACTGTCCCAATTGCTTTGATATAGTCCCCCCAATGTGTATTTAGTTGAATTCTTGGTGTACTTTGTGTATTTCTTCCAGATCTGTGCAGTAATCCAGTGTGACATTTTACTGTGCTGGAGCTTCCTGTAATAAAGACCAGTCACTGCTACTCCCTCTATGCAGGGTGACTTGTCTTGTCTCCTCCCCCTCCTGTAGTTTTCTGCAGGCAGCTTGTAGTGGGTGAGGCCTGACAGGGCCCCTCCCACAGCTCTGTTCCCTGCAAAGTCAATGTGCAGTACCGCTTTCCCTTTTCAGCCGCCGCGGCTCAGCCTGGCCAGCTGAGTTTGTGATGTTGGCTGACACTTTGTTCTCCCACTCCGGTCCGACAGCCACTCTCTCCCCACCTGCCAGCTTTGAACACCTGATCAGACAGACCCTGAAGAGCATCCTGTGAGAGACATCAGGGCACGGATGCTCACATCCCAACTGTAAGTCACCATTTGTTCCATCTCACAGGGCAAGCCAGATTATGGCTGTCCGCATTCCCAATTGACATGTATTTTCCCTAGCTATGTGTGCCCATCCATCGTTCAGCACATTGGGGTCACCCACGGAAATTACAGGTAGTTGCGCTCCACAGAAAATTGTTTTGTTTTGAATTGTGATACACAGGGTCCCTCCCCCTGCATTCAGGAGCTTTGCACACCATCCCTTAGCAGATAACCTTCTTACCTGTGGTTGTCCTACAGGAGTGCGCTCTTAACAATTGTGTGTTTTTTAGTACAGTGATGATGTCACTGCTATTTTGTACAAGGCTCTGAGTCTTACAACATAGACAAATGCAAGCTACAACAAAAGTACAAATATACAATATTCTATGGTTATGCATTGTAACTCCAAAGAATCAAATTGTAACAGGCGATGGAATGTACAATTGACACTGTGGACAAGCTGGATGTCATTGTGATTTTATTATGTCTAATTGAGAAATAAATATATATTTTATCATTTTATAAGATACATGAGACTTGGAGAATTTCTAACGCCTTAAAAGCCCCATGTAGTGACATTGGTGTATTTGTATCTTTAGGGGTGTGGTGTTAGCTAGATGTATCCCCCAATGGGCCCACACTTGTTAATATCTTAATTGGCAATTGAAGAATAGAATTCAATGAAAGTTTTTGTGACGGGAGTTCACCTTTAAAGAATACCATGTTTATGTTTTATCAGCTTGTAATGAGCTATAAGAGAGGCACGCTGTTGTAAAACATTGATACTTGGCAATGTTAATAAACCTAGGTGTGGCATCGTGTGAACTAAGCTCTGTTACGGGGTTTACCGATTTTTGTCGTTCGTATGACTTCTTCCGAGGGAATTTTCTTCTTCAGCTGCGATAAGGCTTCCAGGAGGTTCTCTTTAGTCTGATTGGGCAGCTCCAGGATACATTTCCATCTCTTTATATCTTCCAGGACCACCACCCTCTAAGAACAACAGCAAGTTAGAAGCACCTAGCAGAAGGAATCCTTACTGATATCAAAGGACAGAAGATATGGAAACAGAAAGTCAATTACATAATAGTTACATATAAACTAGGGATGCCCCGATACCGGTATTGAGTACGAGTACCGATACTTTTTCCCCAGGTACTCGCGGATACCAAATACCGAGTACTGGAAGTCCCATTCAGGAAGCCGGGCGGCATGTAAAGACTCGTCACCCGACTTCCCGATTAGCAGGTAAGCCGTCCCCATGCTTCTCGTCACTAGGTGATAAGAAAGCATGAAGCCGGCTTTCTGGCCAATCAGGAAGCCGGGCGCCGCGTCATTACACGGCGCCCGGCATCCTGATTGGCCAGCTTCCCGAACAATCAGAAAGCCGGGCAGCAAGTCATTACACGCTGCCCGGCTTCCCGATTGGCCGGAAAGCCGGCTCCATGCTCTCTCGTCACAAGTGACGAGGGAGCATGGAGCCAGCTTCCCGGCCAATCAGGAAGCCAGGCAGAGTCTAGTGATGCACTGCCTGGCTTCCTGATAACAGAAGTATCGGTCTAGGTATCAGAGCATTTGGGCGAGTACAAAAAAAAAAAAAGTCTCAAATCATCTTGGTTGGGGATGTTTCCCACCATCAATCATAGCTCAGGCCAAATCTTGGTGGTGAATATGTTGGTAGTTGCATGGAAGAACTTTATGTAACAAATATCTGCTTTAACCACCTCCGTACCAGTATATTTAATCCCCTTCATTCCCAGGACATTTATCAGTTTTCATCACTGTAATTATTAAAAAAATTATCTGCCAAGTAACACTGTACCAAAATTAATTTTATAGCATTTTTTGGGGAACAGATGGAGTTGGGGTGCAAGTAATCATTATTTTCATAATCAATTAGTTGGCCGATTATTTTTTTCGATTAATCAGATAAAAAATAAAAACCATCCTTAATTTAAAATAAAATACACAAATGCCATGTTACAAAGTTTACTTCAGAAAAAAACTGCATGCACAATTTTTTGCAATCGCACTGCACTGTAATGAACGGCATAGCAGTACCGTGCGTTCCGGTGCGGGCGATCACACCGTGGGTGGGAGACACGTTTAGGGTGCCATTGAAATAAATGGCACTGCAATGCCTCCCTCAGCAGAATTTTTCCGGCCGAAACCAAAAACTACTTCCTTCCCACCTTTTGTAATTTGCTTTTTTTAATAATTGTATTGTAAGCACAAGGCGCTTGAATAGCTTCAGTCGAGTAATGACAGCTGTCAGTGGCAAGATTCCACAGACGGCAGCTGAATGGAAATACAGAAGGTAGTGGGCGGGTGCAATAGCCAGCCTGCTATTGGCCATTTCAAATTGCAATAGCAGGCTGGTGTGCCCACTGCTTGATGTGCCCTCCTTCCACCAGCAGGAGAGAGCTAAGGGATCCAATCAACTAATCCATAAAGAGAATAGTTGGCAACTATTCTCATAATCGATTATTTGGTTGCAGCCCTAAGATAGAGCTTTATTTTGATGGTATTTAGTCACCGCTGGGGTTTTTTGGGAGAAAAGTCTGCATTTAAAGCAAACAAACTGTATTTCTTTATATTATGTTATAAAGCATACGAAATTAAAAATCGTCCTTCCAAAGTTTAGGCCAAAATGTATTCTGTTACATTTCTTTTGTGCGTGGAGGAGAGCCCCGGGGAAGGGCGGTGCGTGGAGGAGAGCCCCGGGGAAGGGCGGTGCGTGGAGGAGAGACGCGGGGGCAAGCGGTGAGTAGAGGAGAGCCCTGGCGGCAGGAGACAAAATGAACTTCAGTCTTGCAGTTGTACAGATTCCTCTCCTCTACTAAAATTGTTTACTCTGATGTCACTTCACACTGGGAGCTTCTCACAATGTGCATTAGAAGCTGCAGCAAGTCCGATAGAGCCCGCCTCATTTCCTGGCTGGAGGACATCCAGCATCATCTAGGTCTTTTCTTACCAAGCCCTACTATCCCTGTCCTGCCCTTTCATTCATTGGACTTCAGTTCTTTCAATCACGGAGTCTCAGCATCACAGGTGGGGGTTACCAAGGGTGGGCTTCATGCAAATGAAGAATGCCTAGAAACACCAACTCCTTTGGACAGACACCCACCAATCAATACATTTGCACAGCTTCTTCCAGAAAACAGCTTGTATCGGGGCTGAGGGCTCTCGAGAGGCATACTAAGCCAGGGCGTTGTGATGTTTTTTAGAAAGCTGAGCACAGAACCCTGATGACCCCTCCCACCAGCCGTGATCTGCCTGCATTGCGCAGAGAGGCACAGAGACCCAGTGCAAACACTGCTCTGATACAAGTAACACCAGTGTGAACAAGGCCTTAATTACAGACAGTCAGTCACACCTCCAACACCACACATTGACAGTAAGCTATGCAGAATCAACAGCATGTGAAGCAGAATTTGTGGTTGTGGCCAGCACTATAGTCACCTTCAAGGAGTGCAGGGTGGCCTGGCTCAGGGGACCTTTCTTTTTTACAACTTGACCCGTCTCCTCCGAGGCGTGCGGCTTGGGGTTCCTAATGATGAACCTGTCCATGTTATGAGCACTGTATTACTATTATGCGTTCCACGGTAGTTGTCCACTTCCTGTCCCTACTGTGCGGCGCGCAGTTCCGGATTCCGCAGCCGCGCCTTGACATCACGCGCGCACGTCGTTGGGTTTGAAGGTTTCCTCTTTATCCAACCCAGCGTCGGGCGTGCGTGACGTCTGGACGCAGCTTGCAGAATCCGGAAGTGATTGAGAGGAGAAAGATGGCAGCTTCGCAGATATTCTGCAGCGCAGTGTTGTTGTTTTGTACCTGGGGGGCTCTGGGCTCTTTGGACACCGCCCTGGGGGACAGCTCGTCCTGCCACCATGTGTGTGAAGGTACCTACCCCCTGCACACCTACCCTGAGGTGAGTGTGAGACCAGCTGGAGGAACACAAACACAAGGAGCTCCGCCTCCTCCAGCTCCATTCCGTAAACATAACATGGCTGGAACACATTACTGTACCCAACTTCTCAGGCCTTCGTGGAGCTTCTGTCAGCGGCGTATTCTGGCCTCGGGCCGTTAGTCCTCGGGTTATCAGTCAGAAAGGAATACGTTAGACCTAAAGCCATTGGGTTTCTATTTCTGTGTACATGGTTAGCTGTTCGTACGAAGTGCCATGCCTGGAAACTTTGCAATGTCAGTGAACCTGAGACTAGGGACGAGACTGCACTGAACTGGAGGCAGTGATTGCATTATGCTTAGTGCTGCACAGGGAATTAAATGGTTACATAGTTTCAGCAACATATGGTGCCAACAATGGTGTGCTCTGATAATGATTTCTATAGTAATATGTTCTTCTAAGCAAGCATCATTGACTTGACAATATGCAGACTAACAAATGACAATCCTGACATTAAATGTACTATAAATAGGCAATAAAAGGATAGTGGATGCACTACATGGGCAATTGTGATAATACATGGGCAATAAAAGGCTAATGGTTGTAATACATGGGCAGCAGTTGAGTGATCCTGATGATAAGAAAGTGGGCAGTCCTGCAGATATTCAAGCAGGGCAGTCCTGATGCTATGCAAGCGGGGCAGCCCTTGGCATAGGCAAGCAGCCACGTGGGCAGCCCTTGGCATAGGCAAGCAGCCACGCGGGCAGCCCGTTGGCATAGGCAAGCAGCCACGCGGGCAGCCCGTTGGCATAGGCAAGCAGCCACGCGGGCAGCCCGTTGGCATAGGCAAGCAGCCACGCGGGCAGCCCGTTGGCATAGGCAAGCAGCCACACGGACAGCCCGTTGGCATAGGCAAGCAGCCACACGGACAGCCCGTTGGCATAGGCAAGCAGCCACGCGGGCAGCCCTGGGCATAGGCAAGCAGCCACGCGGGCAGTTCTTAGTCCTGGGGAAATGCAAGCAGCCCGACGGGCAGTCCTGGAGACATGCAAACAACTACATCTGTACTTTGTCCCCCCTGCTGACACCAGAGCTGGAGCTGTGACTGAGATCAGTGCTGGTGTTTCCACTCCTGTGCAGGGTAACCCATTTACAAAATGCAACCGTGTGTATACATCATCTCAGCCACAGCATAGTCACACTCGATATTTTATTTTTTTTCTTGTAGTTTAAAGCAAATACAATAAATGGTGCACCATATAGATAATTAGCTAATTATCAGCCTATATATATTAAATACATTCGGCTTTAAGTTGGCTGTATATTTGACACTCCAGAAATAAGGTAATGGGGAAAAAATTCATTCAAAACCTGTCTATATAATTCTCTGGTAAGAATGTTGTTCGGGAGCCATCTGCAGCCGATCACACATCCACTGGTCTGCTTCCACTAACCTGCTGAAATATGGTTACCCTAAGAAACTGTGTGTGATTACTGTTTGCACTGTTACTTCTGTATAACAAAGTCTTCCATGTATTACCTAGGCAGTGTGTGGCACATTGAAATGGAAACACAGGCTTGGTATTCCAAGTAAGAGAAATCCTTATGATAAATGTAAACCGTATAAAAGATAGTATTAGCAGAATGGGAATTACTAATGCATGGGATGGACAAATCAATAACTCAACCTAACCACTCAACCATCACATTCTCAAACAATTCATCCCCACACAGCTACCTCCTCATGTATCACTGGCCCCTCCCTATTAGATTGTAAGCCCTCAGGGGCAGGGCCCTCCTTACCATCTTGTCTTGAATTGGATTGTAATATCTTCCTTATATTGTAAAGCGCCGCACAAACTGTTGGCGCTATTTAAACCCTGTATATTAATAATATGGAATCCAGGATTTAGTCTGTCCAATCAAGGAACTGGCAGCATTTTTTTTTTTAGGAGCCAGCTCAGTTGACAACAACTAGAGAAATCCTCAAGAGTTAGGTGCCATCTGTAAATTATAAGGAGCATTGGCTACCTGGCTCCTGGGATTTGTCCAGCCCTGACTTTTTGTATGATCATTATATTATGTTTGGAGACAGGAGGATTATTAACACTTCTGACAAAGATTTATATCCATGTTTTGATAAGGGCTCTACTGTGTATCCTCACGTGTGGTCCTAGTCAAATATGCCATGCATGTCTAATACCTTAGGGTTGTATTCTGACGTAGATAACTGTTGTGTTTACCATTTCTCTACAGGAGGAGGAGCTCTTTGCCTGTCACAGAGGCTGTCGTCTTTTCTCTATCTGTCAGTTTGCAGGGATCGGAGAAGACTTGAACAAGACGAAGCTGGAATGTGACTCAGGTGATGAGACATACAAGGGAAATATTTGCAATTTGTTAGACAAATATCCTGAGGTATTTTTTAATGTTGTGGAATAACACTTGGCAACCAATTACAAATCAGCCTTTGTTAGGCTAGCAGCACTGCACTGTAATGTTGGTAACTTTGTATTACTGGATCCAGTACTGGATTACATTTGTTTTTATAATCTACTCTGTTATAAGCTAAGTGAAATCCATTCATATGGAGGGCAGCCAGAGATAAGATGCTTTTAGAGGTAGTACACTACCCTAAACTGTGTGGATGAAATGATGGATCAACTGTCAATATTGTATTGTCACAACACAGGCTTGGTTTCACACATTTTTCTGGATATGTAAAAAAAGAGACAACATACTGATCCCATGCAAGGAACTGAAGTTATGTGCCGCAGATAATAAATGAATAAAAAAATATGGAAATCTTAACAATACTGAAAAGCAAAATAACACACAGGCACATGAACTTAATTCATATAAACAATTTGACAAGGGATTGGACAGGGGTAATGATTGTTACTGCACAGCAGTTGGGGAGAGCTTGTATCGCTCCTAGAGAGAGGCCGCAACATCCATGTACAGTGCTATGTATGTGCTTGTACACATTATTTTAATTGTTCAGTACCCATTGTAAGTCATATCTGAGACACTGTTACGCGGCTTATTTTTTTTTATAACGTCTATCCTTGCTGAATGAATGACATTTGCCGTTTGCCTACAGCTTGTACAGAAGCCTACCCCCAGTCCAATGAGCAGTATGCTTGTATCCTGGGCTGTAACAGTCAGATGCCTTTTGCAGAGAAGCGTCAAGAAGAGGTTGGTGTTGCATTGGATTTATCCTTCTAACATATTTTGCTTTATGTATAATTTTACGAAAGCAACTCTACCTTTTATGCCTGTTTTCATGATAACAAGTATTTTATTATCATTGGCAGCTGTCTGATATGGTGCCTCGTATACATGTCCTTTTTCCTATGACTATGGTGAGAGCTTTCTGGAGTGACATGATGGATTCTGCTCAAAGTTTCATGTCGTCATCCTGGACGTTCTATATTCAAGCAGATAATGGACAAATTCTAGTAGTAGAGGTATGTGCAAGGGGAATAAACTATAAATCTTTACAGTGATGTCATAAAAAAATAAAATAAATATATATATATATATGTATATGTATTTCTCATTAAAGAATCACTAACACTTGCATACATCTATCCCAAAGTGAGGAGGGATCACCTGCTATTATTTATGTATGTGTGTAAATGTTAAAACCTATAATTGCAATTTTGATATGGTGTGTACTCCACTGTCATTAGGAACACCACCTTCCCCACGATTCTTAATAAGGAATCCACAGTAACTACTAGAGATGCACTGATACCGGTATTTCGGTACTGATATTTTTTTACGGTACACGCCGATACCGAATATCGATACCGGAAGTCCCATTAACCTCCCTAGCGGTAATCCCGAGTCTGGCTCGGGGTGAATTTTCCATACCAGGAGCGGTACACCCCGAGCCAGACTC